TATACCTATAGCTAACTAAATGCTAAATTGTCACTCTATGTGATATCGGGTAAATGGACTGTCGGGTAAGTAGTTTTCGGGGAATTGAGCGACAACCCAAAATTTGACCACCATGCATATCGGTTTAGGAAGGGTCAACAGTAGTATCTTCTCACACAGTACTCTATTAGTACTGCTCTATTAGTACTCTCTTAGTACTCTCTAAATTAGGTAGGGTTTAGCGCTATGTAATGCAATAAAATTAAGGATTTTATTACGAAATTTGTCGTGATCAAGAATTATGTTCATTAAAATTTCCGTCTATTACATTTTATGCAATGAGATTGTATACTACAGTAGATAACAATATGTAAGGGAAAAATAAATATAATAAAGGCTAGGTTCCACACGTAGGGTTTAGAAAATGTCTAGACTTAGAGTAAGGGTAAAACCCATGTAGATGAATTCCACGCATGAGTATGAATGTTGCGATCACTATATTCATGAAAAAAGTATGACCATTACGTACGTACGTAATCTTATCTGTTATCTGTTATACTATCAGAAATAACATTTATCTTTACTCAAAATCCAGTATATTTCTATTCATTCTAATTTTGTGTCCTTATTGTAGCACCCGCCGTAAAATAGTTAATATCAAAAATGTAAACACAGTATTATGTTTGTTTGTTATACATGTATGATTTTAATATCTGTACTCTATTTTATTAACATGTGCTAAAAAAGTCCAGGTCCAGTTCGGTCCTGGTTTTTTTACCTGCACTTTCTGACACTAAATAACAATAAAAGTCAATTATTTGTAATTACCCTACATTTGTTATATTGAATCATTACAATAAAAATAAATTTTTATATAATATCCGAATTAAATATAATCCACACATTCGGGTCAAAAATTTATAGATAAAATTTTTTTTATATACTAAATATTTCTAAAACGATTTAGTTCCTAGTAACAATTATGATGTGAATTATATATATTTTTTATCACGTGTATTCCGAATTTACTCTGTACTGGACAAAGAGTTGATATTGCTAAAAATTTTGCCTTGACTTTTGTGCCTTTCGGCATAAAGACAAAGTCTGATATTTTATTTTAAAAAACTTTTCAGTTTATTTATTTAATAAAAAAAATAAACTTAAAAAAAGAAAAAAAAAAAAAAAAAAAAAAACATATATCACATAATCCCTTTCGAAAAAAAAAGAAATAAATTTTTAATTTTTATTTTTTATTTTTTGAACAAAAAAAAAAACCTCACACTATACATGTTTTGATAAATAAATTTGATTTTATAAAGTTAAAATAATTTTGCTATACATCTTATTACTTTTATCATAAAAATGTTTTTGTTATGAAAAAATATGCTAAAAGTCATGCCATTTATACAATAATAGCCAATATCCTTAAATATTATTAGGAATAGCTATCGCTTTAAGTAAAATTTCCTTGTAATTATTTTTAATGCGTTTATCGAAATTTCACATGATCTGCTTAAAACAGGTAGAAAAAAAAAAATGCAATTTTGTTGTAATGTGTTGTAATGTGTTGTAATAGTAGAGATGTTCATTTATCTTCCAGAACGCAATAGGGAAGATAGGTTGACATAAGCAGCTTTAACATGCCTTGGTTCTCTCTCGTAAGAAATGCTTGCCATTTGTGAGAATACGTGCATTGGTGGGAGATTGTTGTCAGCAAGAAGTCGTTGGCGGTAAACGGCTTTATAAATAATAAATGCCGTAGGCAGTCTTGGAAGTTTCCCATTTGTACGAACATTATATGTAG